GCGTGTACCCCCACCGACCTCATCCGAGTCACCATAATTTGGACCAGGGTTCATTTCCACATTACCAATTACTAAGAGACAGAATAGGCATGTCCGAACTGCTAATGTTGTTTTGCCACATAACAATAGAGAACAGTAGATCACTGCCAATATGGCGAAAGTACCGTCACCTTTACTCAGTTTCCCGCCACTAGATCTGGCTATTCTTATTCTATAGGTAATCACATCCACACCCATCATCAAAACATGTCACTATGTACCTCGTTAAAAGGGGACGTTGCCAGATCCTACCGATCGTGTCTCAAATTCCGCCAAATTTAGGAGCTCTAACGTAAACGATGCACCACCACTTATGAAGAAGCAAAGTCCCAACCCGAATTTTTTTAGCAACTACCGTCACAGAACGTTTTGTGTTGCTTTGACATACACCGCTGTACCATGTATTGTATGGGCTCTGTAAGAACTGCTGTGGAAAGCCAGCCGATACAGCTTTAATCCATAAAACAGCATAAACTCAACTATGAGGCTATCCTGAACAATCAAATGTATATATGTTGCACATGTAGGAGTTATCTTGTTAAGCCACTCTGACACTTGCACGATTCTGTGGCACGCATTGGCCCGACTCGAGTCGTGCCAGTGCGCAGAGTAGTCGTAAACTGGCGTGAAGTGTGCGTAAACCCGTCGTGACTGCGTGCCATGTCGGGACGAGAATTTTGAAATGATCAAAATTCTGGTCGCGACAAAATTTCGCGACCGGGTCGTGAACTATGCGCAAACTGTTCGTGACTCGTCGGGAAGATGCGGGAGGATGCGTGTCAGTGCGCGCCATACCACGACTGTCACGAACTGCCACGAATAGTTCACAAACAGCTCACGTCCGAATTGCGTAATCTCGTCGTGCCAATGCGGGAAGTGCGTAAAATATACGCAAACCATGCGTTAACTTGTCGTGCCAGTTCGTGTCAATGTGGACACTGATGGGCACGCATTCGTGAACTATACGTGAACTCGTCGTCAACTCGTCGTGAACTAGTCGTGAACAGTGCGGCAGCCTCCCAGTTCGTACCCCAAAATGGCACGACTTGCCACGACAAAATCGTGGCCAAAAGTCGTGCAAGTGTCAGGGTGGTTTTACATTGTTAAAGAGAGTCTCAACAAACTGAAAGTATAATTTTTTAGGGTGTTTCACCGATTGTGGTTGCCAGCCGGGGAAAAAGCCCGATGCTCGCTCCCGAGAATAACAGGTTCACACTAATAATAGATTATTAGCCTGAGATGGAGACTGGGGACAAATACGAGTAGATACCATCATAACCATCGTCTGAACGGCGCCCTCTGTCGGTGACCGCACAGGATTTATGTCACACTCGACAGAGGGCGTAGACCGATTTCCCGGAAGAAGTGAGTTATCACACATGCATTTTTCATCGCGCAAATACAAACATTTTGGTCCATTGGCGGATTTAGATGGGGGCCGAGGGCCCTCCCCCCTATTTTTAACAACCAACAGGGCTTCGCGCCATCGGCGCTCGCGAACTTGGCCTTAGGCCAACTTATCGGCCCCCCTATTCTAGAATTCTAGATCCGCCCCTGTGGTCTGCTGATATTCGTTAAAGGGGGGTCTTATTTTTGTCACGTCGATTGGTACACCCACAAGCACAATTTTGCTTCTTTAAATGGCAATAAATCATATGGCTGCACGATTGATTTAGAAATCCGACTGCGTGTTACCGTATATTAGTCTGGGTAACCAGTTGAACAATAAACGGTTTCCAGTCTAGAGGGCGCTCCCTTCAGGACGTTTACCAGCCATTAAATCTATAATTAAGTGAATTCATCTGTCCAGAATCATTGAATCCAGACAGAAGAGTCGAATCCAAAAGATGAATCACATTTATCCATAACTAAATAAATTGCATAAACGTATATCCAGTGAATTCTTATTCTCAGGGTGTAAATTTCAACTTGAAGCTAGGTGTACAAATTGCTTTCTATAATTAAGTTTTTGAAATCCATAATCTGACACATAACGCGATATAAAAAATATATATAAGTGATTGGGAGCATTGTGATAACAAAAAAACAAAGTCTGTTAATGGAAGTCTTTTTAAACTTTCGCAACAATTGCACAGTATACATACGTGCACAATAAGTTCGGGATAAGATCTCTGTGAAACTTGCGCAGAATAATATTACCCTGCACTAAAAAATGCCAATTGTTTGTACACGTGTAAGTCTCGTGGGGCCAGCATCGCAACGAACACCACGCGTCGCAATAATCGCTTTAAATGCAATGCGCCAATATTTTTGAGTTTTTGGAATTTCATTTTTATTTATTATTATTGTATTATTGTGATGTCTTTGCTCATGTACTAAGTACATTCCTTCAATGTAAGTACATTTTGTAAGCGCATTTTGTTTTAATTATGTTAATGACCCCTCCCCAAATCTCAGACTAATATTATTAGTCTGAACCCAAAGCATTTGTGATCTTACAATATTTTGGCGTGATATAAATTTAGCGCTGATTGTATTGTGGGATCAAGTAAATTGAGGCATTCGGGTATTTGGTCAACGTACAATAATCACAGTAGATTGATTACTGTCGGCAATTGTTGTGCAATCACTGGTAAGAAAAGACCCGCCTTGTCAATGGCATACTGCACCATGCATTATTATTGATTGTACGTAAAACATATTATACGTGCGTTGTCTTTTAGCTCTTTATTCACAAACCGCCTATTTATTATTGTGACAGGTGGTCCAAGCCGCATAATAGCCGATGGAGATTCCATTGTGGGTGACCCATGTGTTTGAAGTACATTCGGAACAAGCTCTTTTTTATTTCCAGTGTTAAATCACTACGCCTGTCGCCACATGATCTGTAAATGTAGTGTTAGGTGACGGATTACAATGAGACGATGTTGCACGCGAATGATACGACGCTCGGCAATAATTTCAGTTGTGACTGTTACAGCTTGGATAATAACCGCATTCCTCTTTTCCACGGAGCTCGTTGAGGACGTTAATATTCTTGCCTATACGCCTGGACGCGACGTGAAATGTAAGGGTGAATATAATGGGTTGTTGTTTATATATATATATATTTTATTTATGTCAACTTACTTTAATAGTATTACATACTGAGCACACTTCAATCGTTAATATAACCCGATGCAATTAAGTATGGGGTGTGCTCGGGCAGACTAGAGAGTATTATAAAAAAAAAAGATTACACCCAATTTCCGGAAGATGCACGCCTGTTGTGTAAGTATTAGGTGTAGATCTCAAGCTGTTTGTCTGCTGTTGAAAACTGCTAGCATCGGGTCTCAACTCGTTTATCGACAATCCCCCGACGTAATTGTAGCGAAACAATTTCAGAATTGATATGTCTATTTTAATATGTGTACCTTATTATTATTAATATGACAGCTCCGTGTTAGTGGGTATAGTGTAAACTAATTTGTTGATATTGCGTGTCCGCTGCCAGCTGACACACCAAGGAGAGGGGTCAATTCAGCAAGCTGACGCCCATACATAAAACATGAGCAATCTATCTAGCTAACAGCGTTTGTGTCGACCTAATATAGTTGTGTATATCACATTTCAGCAAACATTGACATTTGCGAAACAAAGACGTTGATCGCACCAGGAAGTCGACCGTTGGTGGCGCTAGCAAGTTTCCCTGGCTCTGGCAACACATGGATCAGATATTTAATCGAAAGAGTTACTGGTTATTACACTGGGAGTTTTTATTCGGACGCGGTTCTTTTTCGTGCAGGTAATGTAGATATATAGCGGCACCGCAAGCACAATTGTTTAATGCTGTCACCAGTAACATTGCTGTATAGCATTACTTTTACTTGTTTTTTTAACAAAGTTGACGTGACGCTGGATTCGCTAATTTCCTGTGGAAATCGAACTGCCTGCAAGTCTGAGAAAATAATCACCTCGGCCGCCGAGGGCGATATTTCACACTACACGTCGTCGCGTTCTGTTCGATTCATAACGTGCAAAATACATTGTTTGTTTACAAATTCGAGCACGTGTTGTGGGACGATCGCCATCATTTAAAGGGCGCTAGTCGTCGCGCCACGCATGCGCGAGATATACGGGTCTCATATAAAAAAAAGATTGCGACTTTGACTGTTGCGCAGATCAACGAGTACAAACTGAGACGTTTCAAGTTTTAATTAGGTGACTTGAAAGGTATCGAAGGAGTCACCAGCGGTATTCAGTGCAAGTCGCGCCAATATCAAACCTCATACTTGTGATTTCAATTTGAAGAACGCATTGGATTATGGGAAAATCAATCTTTATCAACACAAATGTCGCACAGGCGCAGCGTGACGACTACCGCGCTTTAACCATTACGTTCAAGTTCACAGCATGTGTTTATAATATAACTACATGTACATAAGAAAAACGAAATTGGCCAGTGCTATCAAAATTATCACACATGTTCCCTGACAGATTCACAAGACCTTATCACATTTTGAGGTCAAAGATTAGTATGCGTTTATATTGAGCTACAAGCGATAATAGATAGGAACTTCAAACATGGCACACAGGTTCCCTGTGAAACCCACATGGGGGTTTATTAAATAAACAAACTAATCGCACTGTGTTTGCTATTTTTCAGGGTTTCGAGGTGAAAAATACGATTGGCTCGAGAGAAATACCATCGTCGTTAAAACACATGAAACAGACAGTGAGCACGTCGATAAGTTTGACGCCGCTATATTAATTATCAGGAACCCTTACGACGCCATTATTTCAGAGCGTCACCGGCAGACTGGTGGAGGTCACGTGGGCTTTGCGAAGGAAGTCGATTTCACGGATTCTGGGGGTGAGTAAGTGTTCAATTTTGTATCTCATTCTATCTAACGTCGGTGACTATACTCAATATCTTAAATGTGGTAGTTACCGCGCTACGTGGTGTTCGATATAAGTATGAACGCGCTCGACGACAACCGCCCTTTAAAGCGCAACAATTTTGTATATTTTACAAGCATTGTATACATCGCATGGGACCCATATCGAACAGGACGTGGATCGACGACCATGGCGCTTTAAGAATGAATGGTAATTAAGTGTTATTTAAAACCAACATTACCATCGTAACCAAAACATTTCCCTCCAGAAAAAATATTTGCCCAGCTATTTATCATCTTCCTCTCAGTGTTTCTAATGATCACCCCATACGATTTGTTTTATTTAGGATGGAACGCCATGGTTAATGATTATCTGCAATATTGGGAAGGTATCACTACCTTGTGGTTGCTACGCGACTTTCCTCGGCTGGTTATCCACTACGAAGACGCGTTAGAGAACACCCAACGAACAATGTTTGAAATCACGAGGTTTCTGAATATTTCGGACAGTGAGGTGCGAGCCGATTGCCTGATACAGAAAACGGAGGGCCTATTTCATCGAAAAGGGGCGAATTTCGTATTTTCAGCTGACCCGTTTTCAGAGAGTATGCAGGTGATGGTGAATCAGTCCATCGAACATGTGAACATGATTTTACTTCAGCAGATGAGAAGACCGGTGGCCCGACGAAAAAGTTTCAACGACTAGAGGAGTACATCTTTACATATTGCAACAACCGTCTTATGCAATCAGAGGTCAGAAACCGCCAGGGTTCCTGTAGAGCTACTCACCTTAGGTTATTTCACGAAGTTACTCTCGTCGATGGGGGAATCGAAATAAAAGAAAGATACTAGAGTACAACAACAAAAACAAAATCCATAACCATATTGTCAGTCAGGAATTGTTCCTACTTGTGCATAAAGGAAACTTACAGAAACTCACGGACCAATATTTCTAGGTCTTACACACTCAGTGGAATTTACAGCTTAAACTTGAAGAGCGGTAGTCGTCGCGCCACGCATGCGCGAGATATATGCGTCTATTATAAACAAAGATGGCGACTTTGACTGTTGCATAGAACAACGAGTACAAACTGGAAAGTTTTCAAGGTTTAATTTGGTAATTTTTAGGTGACTGGAAGGTATCGAAGAAGTCACTGGCGGTATTCAGTACAAGTTGAGCGCATTGGATTAAGGGAAAATCCCAGTTTAAAATACAACTAACTTTAACGAACACATTATTAAAATACAACCATTAGTATGGTTTAAATCAAAGTACTGAGAAATAATCAAATAAAAAATTACCTTTCAATTACCTCTGAATTTCTCATTTTTAATTATAGGCACAAGCTTATCAAGTACATCAGCAATATTCTTATTTGAAGACACATATGTGGTCTCCATACATAATCTTCCTGAACTCCACCACGTTCTAAATAGTACTATATCTGTGTTTTGATTTTGAGTAGGATTTTTAGCAAGTGCCATTGCTTCCTGGTTATCACATTAAATCATGACTAGTCCTATCACATAACAGTTCTCTCAAAAATCGCCCCCAATGTTGCAGCTGGTACTGAGGTACAATCCCACTTTATTACATGTAATTAGCCCTTTGCCACAAACCTGGCCTTATAATGTTCTTTATTATTTTTGATCCAATTTAACAGCTTTTACCCAGTGACCCCCTGCCTCTCTGTCTTGTGACAGTGTGTCCTCAAATCAAAAGTATTACTCGGCACTTATTGCAATCAGGTAAAATCCTGGTTTGATTCGGGCACACTAGTGAGATTATAACAACGATGCACAAAATAATTCTAGACTAATAAAATAGACTATCATCTATCTTTTGGTGTCTGCAAACATGTTCATCAGGACAAACATTTCGGGGTCTATGTAGTCTACATTGTAGACTTCACCAGAACCAACAAGTTCACACTTTCTATTACTATTGTTTCCTTTCTTTATACACTCATCATTTATAACGCAATTAATAAGTCCTTCATTATATCCCCCACACATCTCAGCTTTCATACATAATTATATACTACATTCGCTAGATGTACAGATGTACTTTTTGTCATTTCCATCATCTAATTTCTTAGGATTTTGCTCATATGCGTAACAAAAGCTATCGAATTTCTGCATATTCGCAATATTAGGTTTTTGTAATTAAATTACTGAAGTGGGGTGCTTTCTGTTCTTGGGTTTCAACAACGATTTCAGGTATAGGCTGAAGCCATAACTGCACAGGGCCACAACATTTTTGATAAGCATGATTTAACAGGCCTCTTGCCATCTTAAAAATAGAACATCATGATCGTTCCACTGTACAGTTTAGGCGAGGAGAATATGTAGTCGATAGCTCATGTTAATGTAACCAGAAGAGAGCCAAGCGCATCCAACATAAACTCCTGCCTCTGTTTTTTGTCAAGCTTTTTCATACCTTCAACTACACTTTCTAATTTCAATCAAAACATTGAAATGGCCCATAATATGCCACTCTATAAGTGAATGGCGACTTTCCTGTGAGTCTTAGAAATCATGTTATTAAAATAATACAAATTCTTTCTTTTCCGATTATTGAATGTTGAGCCTTTTGCACGTAGTCCTGCAGAATTTTGGTCTACACTCAACCAAGCTCTCCTCTTGGTTGCTGCTTGGACGGGAAAAAAATAGGCACATACAAGGCATCTTTAAGAATGACGCTTAGTCCTTCACCCTTTGCATCTATTAATTAATGTGCTTACAAATTATGAAGCAATCTTTCTGATTGGTTTGACGTTTAGATTCTATAGTTGATTGGCCAATGATAGAATGTCTTGTTGTAATGATTTGTAAAATTCCTATTGGTCAGCATGTATTCCATCATATATGCTTGAAGGTTGTGCCATATGTTATGCATTTTACAATAGGGCACCGCGATCGCAACATCGTTGACTACAACACCTCTAATCACCACAATGTATATCCGGACAGCAGCGCTGATTATCGGCATCGTTATTTGTATGGTACGGGCTGATGAGCTTCCTGTACCAGCTGAGGGTAGTGGAGACGGTAATAATAGCCAAAGAGCTGAGCCGGTAAGCACCAATCAGGCCACATACCCTAGTAACGAGGTCTATTGTTAGACTGAACTCCTACTATATGCATAGCGCCAGTATCAACGCCATACGTCCACCAAAAAAAATACTTTTTTTATTTCTAAGGCAACTATAACATCGGTGCAACGGGACTACACGTTATACTTGCATGTATTTCACACGGAGGGACACACCCAATGGCCCAATGGCCTAAACACGTTTCTTTGAATAACTACTCATCGTGACGTCACTGTTCGACTAAACAGATGTCGCACTATTATTTAATATTTCTTTATCGGTCACGAAGATGAATATAAGGATATTCAGCAAATTTGAACACCGGATTTTGAGGATGTTGTGACGCTTCAAATCATGTTCCTTGTTCAAATTAAACCTTCACATGTCAGTCCTTTGTGGTTGTTAGTTATTATAACAACGAACACTAGCTAGAAATATATATGGTCTATTATTGATTAGCATGGGAGTGAATTCTTTCGTTGAGGTCTCCAAACTACCCTAGAAACAATCATGTTTAACAAATGTGTCACTTTTAGCTTTCAGTTGCAGGTCTGGGACCAATTCTCAAGATTCCGGAAGAGACACTTAAGAAAATGGAAGAGTTGAGGGAACGCCTGAAAGTTCATGGTCCCCTGTCTCCGTTTAAATTAAACGACGGATTTAAACTGGGTGCATCAGCCCCTCATATTATGGATATCAGCGTCGACCTCCCCCAGCAGCACGTGGACAACGACATCATTCAGCCTGTTGGTGAAGGCGCACCAAATCAGCAAGGGCGACATGATGACGCTGATGGCGCTCAACGTCCTGCTGACGCGGATGCTGACAGCGAAGATGGCGAAAGAAAGTAGCATCACTAAGCCTTGAATCGAATATGTTAATTATGCTTTGATTATGTTTTGTTGATTCTATCTGAATGTTCTAGTATCACATAGTGTGATCTAAATGTGCATTTATTTGTTTGCCGAAAACTTTCTACAGGTTGAATTATTTTTGTATACGACAAATAATCAATACTTCTCTCACCCTGGGCGCTGGTAAAACGTTAGTACACACCCGTTACTAGTAAAACACGCATGATGATTAACTATTTGGAAAGAAATGCAGTCCGTGAAAGCAAAACATATAAGACGGCTTATTAAGATTATCCGCTCAGACCACATTTTCGGGACTATTTCTGCTAGACAAATCATTTCAAATTAAATAACAAACAACACGACATGTGCAAAATATTTACTTTATTCCAGGAACAAAACGTGGCAAGGATTTGGTTATAACTGTGAAATATTTATTTGGATAATTGTGACGGAATTATTTTTGAATTTACAAAATAATTATTGTGAGTACGTTTTCTCACCAGATGGAAATCGATCAGTCACGTTTGCCAAAATAAGTCTCAGATCACAGAACGTGCACAGATTTTGTGTTGACTCAATAACTTTGTAATATCATTATATTATCGGTAGTTTAAATATAATTGTTCCAATACAAAATATTAAAACATGTCATCAGAATCACTTGATTTTTACAAAGTGTTATGACTTGTATACAATTTATAAATATATTCATGGTGGTTTTAATTTTTCTGTAATTTCATAATCGAAATAAAGGAATACTAAGTAACATGATGTGCTTTTATTTCAAGGATTTATTTTCAAATATAAGAATGCAAAAAAAAAAGTATGACCAAGAAACTAATTGTCGTCCAAAGAAAATGGGACAAACATTGATGAAAATTACACTTTTTTAAACTACTATCTCAAACTATTGTCACCTTTTTATATGCCTGCTGTTCATATGTAAATAGGGTGCCTGGAAAACAACGGATTCAATGACGGGAAAGAATGGGCAAAAACAAGGCTCGTGAACACTGCGATTCCGTTTTCGACATTGTGAAATGTCTATTTTGTAATTTCATTCAGCTTCTTTCAGTCATAATTTAAGACAAATAATGGCAAAAATATAGGGAATATACAGAATATCTTTTTTTCTGTAATATTTGTGTGTAATCGGTATTCCTGAAATATTTATGGTTGCATAGGGAATAGATTTTGTTATGATTTTTTCTTAATATAGATTTCTAAATTATCTTGTCAAAATCAGTTTTTCAGATTCCCCCCCCCCAAAAAAAACGCAAAAATTTCACAATGTCGATAATTTCTTTATCGAAGTGCTTTCTCGCTCTCAACAAGAACTTGGTCTGTTTTTTGTCCCATTGAACCTCTTTTTCACACGCCTAATTTTAATTGGTCGATTGAAAATGCGGGGACCACGTGATTTAACATAAGGGAATTATGTGCGAGCTATATTAAAATTAGCAAGTTAACATGAATAAACCTATAGTTGACAGTAATTTTGAAGACTGACTGGTTAAAAATGCCTTTTCGTCAACTCTTTGACGAGAAGTACGTTTAATTCTTATGGAACAATCCTACCAGATGCATTACCACGGAGTTTTTTTGAATCTGGTCGCCATCTTTTATTTTATACATCCGGGGCAGCGATTTAGTGATTTGTACAATTCCTATTGGTCGGGATTTTTAATTATTTCTACTGCACACAAAAAGAAAGGTGCCATTCGTTACACATTTTACAAGGCAGTGGAGTCGAATCCTAGTCGCTAATCGCTACAATGTATATCCGGGCCGTTATGTTGGTTATAGGAATCGGTAGTGTGATGGTGTGGGCCGATGAGTTGCCGGTCCCAGCTCAGGGTGCACGAGACGGTAACGAAGCGAGACAAAAATCTTTGCCGGTAAGCACAAAAAACTTAACACTAAAATAACGACAATCACATGGACATGTCGGATCAATTGCAATGTGCTCATAACGCGTTTGTTCAGACAAAATCTGGGGTGAGATACATTGCGCAAGAGCCTTTTTGGGGTGCGAATACGTTCTATTGCCCACGTGTTACCAAAGCGCAAATAAATGAAACTGTCTTACCTTGACAGAGGTTTCGTCCACCAGAAAGCGCACTTTTCTTTTTACATTGGAGCACCTTATCGTCTTTTGGCAATTTCCATCCTTAGCGATAAACGTTTGTTATTTTATATTCGATAGTAAATTTAAATTGTATAGTTATTGAACGTTGTCGTTTTCCTTACATTGAGGCCATTCAGGGATATTTCGAAATTAGCCCATTCTCTTAACTCCCTTCTGTAGATGTAAATCCGCTTGAAACTATTTCATTTCCAGTTAACATTCGTTATTCCGGAAGAGACACGAGCGAAGATGCTAAATTTCAGCGAATTGAGCGAAATTTTTCGTGACCTACCGCAAATCAAGCCAGGACACTGGTTGAAATCGAATGTAACCAACTCTATGAAAAATAGTGAAGACATCGTCCAGCAGAACACCCACAACGACAGCGTTCAGCCTATTGGTCAACAAGCTGCAGATCAACATGAGCGGTTTGACGACGCTGTCGGAGCACAACGTCCTGCTGATCAAGACGTTGACGCGGACGGTGACGAGAGAGACTAGTATCGTTTAGTGTTGGATTATGTTAAGGATGTTGAATGTAGTGAGGGAATATATCATTTAATTTATGCATATTTATTTATTTATTTATTTATTTATTTATCTATCTGTTTTTCACTTTCTTACGTTCTGTGGTATTTACAACTTTAGCAATGTTTACGAAGTAATTGAGATTAAATATGCTTAAAGTGACAGTGCAGTACGTACGACAGTGCGTTTCTTATCCGAATAAAGCTTTTTTCCTGATAATTAAAAACTGTTTATCAATCACAGTACATTATAGTAGAACTTACACGTGTTATTGCGTGTAAATTTTAAACATTCTCGTGAATATGTAAGATGGCCGTAACCGAACGTAACGTCTGAAAACATGAACCGTGGACATAAGAACATAATATTTTACGACTTTTTATTTGTTTGAGAAATTATAAAACACCATTGCACAACTCGTAAATAGAAAAGGAGTGAGAATGCGAGAGAAACAGAACATCTGAGAGAGAAAATGTGTTCACAACGAAAAACTCACGCTAAAAAATGTGTTGTGAAATTATTTTGCAATGATTTGTACAATTCCTGTTGGCCAATAGCTATATATTTTCACTCTAAAGAAAAGTCACATCTGTCTAACTTTTTATGATTTTACTCGAATTTGACTCGCCCAATCACCATAATGTATGTCCGGGCAGAAGCGCTGATTATCGACATCGTTATTGCTATGGTAAGCACCGATGGTCCCAGCTGAGGGTGGCGGAAACGGTGACGAAGGGCATACAGATTTGCCGATATTAAGCGCCATTCAGACAGCACATGTACTAAAAATATAACGATGTTCTATACGTACAACACTTTTGTGAACAACGCATACCATCGCGATGAAGTCCCGACCTCAAAAAGTAAACTAACCGTTTTATATTCATTTCATTGCTATAATAAATGTTTCTAAGACGTTATTAAACATTAGTGCGACATAAATAAAGAGCGAAGTACACGTGTTTTTTCACAGCGAACACACCCTTTAGCTTTAGGCACAACATGGTGATCGTGCATCCACCAAGCATGCATTTTATTTGTTAGATTTCACTGTCATATGAATTACATGTATGCAGGATACCTTGTCAATGACAGATTTAAGTCATAGTTTCTGTTTCATTCAACTTATTGCGCAATTGTTTTTATTCTTTTGTTTTGAACTCAATATCTTAAATGTCGATTTATGTTCGTCACCATCTTCTTTGATTATTCATAGAAATAGAACCCCGTTTAGTGATGTATTATTCGACCAATAACTTGCGTTACATTATTTAATTTTACACAGCTGTTAGCTGGTGATATGATGAATATATTCCTCAACAGGCTGCACTAACGTCTGCACTAACGTTTTTCAATCACAGTACATTATAGTAGAACTTACACGTGTTATGACGTGTGAATTTTAAAAAACCTCGTGAACATGGAAGATGGCCGTATCCGAACATAACGTTTGAAAACATGGACCATGCACGCACGAACATAATATTTTACCAACTTTTTATCTGTATGGAAAATTATGAAACAACATTGTACAACTCGTAAATTGAAAAGGAGTGAGAATGCGAGAGAAACAGAACATCTGAGAGAGAAAATGTGTTCACAACGAAAAACACACACTAAAAAATGTGTTGTGAAATTAGTTTGCAATGACTTGTACAATTCCTGTTTGTCAATAGCTATATATTTTCACTCTAAAGAAAAGTCACATCTGTCTAACTTTTAATGATTTTACTCGAATTTGACTCGCCCAATCACCATAATGTATGTCCGGACAGCAGCGCTGATTATCGGCATCGTTATTGCTATGGTATGGATCGATGGTCCCAGCTGAGAGTGGCGGAGACGGTGACGAAGGGCATACAGATTTATCGATAAGCACCATTTAGACAGAACCTGTACTACAAATATAACGATGTTTTATATGTACAACACTTTTGTGAACAACGCAAACCACCGCGATGATGTCCCGGTCTCAAAAAGTAAACTAACCGTTTTATATTCATTTCATTGCTATAATAAATGTTTCTAAGACGTTATTAAACATTAGTGCGACATAAATAAAGAGCACAGTACACATGTTTTACATAGCGGACACACCCTTTAGCTTTAGGCACAACATGGTGATCGTGCATCCACCAAGCATGCATTTTAATTGTTAGATTTCACTGTCATATGAATTACATGTATGCAGGATACCTTGTCAATGGCAGATTTAAGTCATAGTTTCTGTTTCATTGAACTTATTGCGCAATTGTTTTTATTATTTTGTTTTGAACTCAATATCTTAAATGTCGATTTATGTTCGTCACCATCTTCTTCGATAATTCATAGAAATAGAACCCCTTTTAGTGATGTATTATTCGACCAATAACTTGCGTTATATTATATAATTGTATACAGTTGTCAGCTGATAATATGATGAATATATTCCTCAACAGGTATCAAACGTCTCAGGGTTGAACGCTACACTCGGTGTCCTGGAAATAAACCGTTTGCTGTGAGTTTCTGATGTATGTAATATCATGTTCGAATGCATAGCATCGTTGTTTCGCGATGAGCATGCTTACCGCCTCTTACTATGAATTGAATTTACACTGTTGGGCTAGCAAGTTGTTCTAATTTCACAAATTAAATATTCATCTGCAAAGAGGTCGTATTATAGACGTAAATTTGGTATTTCAGTGAAGCTACAAACAGGGTTGAACAGAATGTGTTTTCAAACGTGCTCAAAAACCGTGATATCATCAAGGTAAACTTCCAATGTAACCAACACTATGGAAATATCACCAAGCAGTATATCCATAACGACAGCATTCAGCCTATTGGTCAACAAGCTGCCGATCAACATGAGCGGTTTGATGACGCTGATGAAGCACAACGTACTGATAATCAAGACGTTGCCGGGACGATGATGTGAGAGACTAGTATCGTTTAGTGTCGCTCGGATTATGTTAATGATGTTGAATGTAGTGATGGAATATATCACCTAATTTATTTATTTATTTATTTATTTATTTATTTATTTATTTATTTATTTATTTATTTATTTATTTATTTATTTATTTATTTATTTATTTATTTATTTATTTATCTGTTCTTCACTTGCATACGTTCTGTGTGGTATTTACAACTTTAACAATGTTTACGAAGTAATTAAATTTAAATATGATTGAAGTCACAGTGCAATTTAAATTTCTTATCCGAATAAAGCTTTTTACTTGATAATTAAAAACTGTTTATCAATCACAGTACATTACAGTAGAACTTACACGTGTTATTGCTTGTACATTTTAAAAAATCTCGTGAATATGTAAGAAGGTCGTATTCGAATGTAACGTCTGAAAACAAGGACCATGCACGCACGAACATAATATTTTACATTTTTTATCTGTATGAGAGAAATTATGAAAAACATCATTGTACAACTTGTAAATTGAAAAAGAGTGAGAATGCGAGAGAAACAGAACATATGAGAGAGAAAATGTGTTCACAACGAAAAACTCATGCTAACAATTATTTTGCAATGATTTGTACAATTCCTGTTGGCCAATAGCTATATATTTCCACTCTAAAGGAAAGTCACATCTGTCGAACTTTTTATGATTTTACTCGAATTTGACTCGCCCAACTTGTACTAAAAATATAACGATGTTCTTTACGTACAACACTTTTGTGAACAACGCATACCATCGCGATGATGTCCCAACCTCAAAAAGAAAATTAACCGTTTTATATTCATTTCATTGCTATAATAAATGTTTCTAAGACGTTATTTTATTAAACATTAGAGCGACATAAATAAAGAGCAAAATACACGTTTTTTTTACAGAGCGGACACACCCTTTAGCTTTAGGCACAACATGGTGATCGTGCATCCACCGAGCATGCATTTTATTTGTTAGATTTCAATGTGATATGAATTACATGTATGCAGGATACCTTGCCAATGACAGATTTAAGTCGTAGTTTCTGTTTCATTCAATTTATTGCGCAGTTGTTTTTATTATATGTTTTGAACTCAATATCTTGAATGTCGATTTATGTTCGTCACCATCTTCTTCGATTATTCATAGAAATAGAACCTCGTTTAGTGATGTATTATTCGACCAATAACTTGCGTAGCATTATTTAATTTTACACAGCTGTTAGCTGATGATATGATAAATAGATTCCTCAACAGGCTGCACTAAGTATCAAACGTCTCAAGGTTAAACGTTACACTCGGCGTCCTGGAAATAAACCGTTTGCTGCGAGTTTCTGAAACTGCTCAAAAAACGGTGTATCATCCAGGTAAATTTCCAATTGTAGCCCTTAAATAAACAAAATCATAAAAAAGGTATCTGCTTCCGAACACATCCAGGTCGATTATATTGGCAATTACGCCAAATTATTTAAAAGTTGTCTACTCGCGGCTATCTGGATATAAATCTACTTTTTTATGTCAAGCATTGTAAAATATTTAGGATTTTCTAAACCAAGTGAATCCAGACAATTTGTTATTAGTATTAGAACAATATAAAGCAGTGTGGCGACCTTTACATATTGGATACTCGGCGGTCTGTATGTTAGATATATACTATGCATTTTCAATGAGGTCGCCATTTCGCCTACCAGTTCAGAATCCAACCAGCTTACCAAGAGGTTTACCTTCATATGACTACATACTGTCATAGTGAGACACAGTTTTAGATTTCACTGCGCTGTATTCAATATACCAATACAACCTAGGATATACTCCATGTTATTAAACTAGGGCTGAGCCATCTCATATGCAATTTTGGATATCGTCCTTTCTTCTTTGCGCGATCAAACAACTATAGTGCCTTAGCTATCCTATTGACACTTATGCCTCGTTTTGCATAACAACAACTGCATCCAACTTTCAGCCAATCATGAACGCAAGTGCTTGTCCCGAAGGAGTTTTAGTACGCAAGTATTATCCGCGTCGTGAATAACTTTCTTATGTCAGATTTTAAAATTGTAACTTATAACTGTAGATCGGTTAAAAATAGTAGACCGATTGTCACCGAACTCTGCGATAAGCACGACATTTGTCTTCTACAAGAACACTGGCTCGTCAAGGATGATCTTGAATTTGTATCTGCTATTCACAATGACTTCTATGCATATGGCGTTTCTGCTGTCGACACAAGTACTGACAT